TAACAAGAAAACGGAAATTACCACTAATTTAACAGCCATTTCGTTAAAAAGAAAAAATGGCTGCAAACAAGTTCTTACTAGCAGTTTAAGCAAATGGATTTTACCCAATCCCCTCACGGCGTCCCACAGCATCGTTAGCAGCTACTACTGGTAAAAGGGATCGCAGCAACCTCCCGCCAAACCCAAACGAAGGGTTTAAGCATTCACTCACTCTTCTCCCCAAACCCTAACTCTGCATTCTCTACCATCCTCCATCCCCTTCCCCGATTTCTCTTTCCAACACCAAACCACAGAATCCCAACCCCACACTCAACAGCGACAATGAGTTTCGCGGCCTACAAAATGATGCACTGGCCGACCGGAATCGAGAACTGCGCCTCCGGCTTCATCACACATTCCCGTGCTGACTTCACGCCCCAAATTCCAATAATTCAGACCGATGATCTTGAATCCGAGTGGCCAGCCAGGCGCGGGATAGGTCCAGTTCCTAATCTCATCGTCACAGCTGGTAATGTTCTAGAAATCTATGTGGTTAGGGTACAAGAAGAGAACAGCAGGGAAACCAGAGATTCTGTCGAAGTGAAGCGTGGTGGTGTGATGGATGGTGTCTCCGGGGTTTCTCTCGAGCTCGTTTGTCATTACAGGTTTGCTTCAAAATTTGAAACCCTTGACGGTAGACTAAGATTGTTTCTGGTTATGGTTAGTCCAAATTCGATAGGCACACAAGCGCAGGGTAGGTAGATGTGGACTGTCCTTATTTAGTTCATTATCCCACTTGTTTTACTTTAATCTTTCCAGCTGTTCTTTGTTAAGCTTTCTTAGTGGTTGATGAGTTGCCCTGAATCTATTTGGGTCTTTCTTGTTAAATTCTATTGCAGATTGCATGGTAATGTAGAATCGATGGGTGTACTTTCTGTTGGAGGGGGTGATAGTTCCAGAAATAGAGATTCTATTATCTTGGCGTTTAAAGATGCAAAAATTTCAGTCCTGGAGTTTGATGATTCAATTCATGGACTTCGAACAAGGTAAGATATGTCATGCATAATTCTTCAGTACACGGTTAATTTGCATAAATACTTTATGATGCTGGGTTGCATTGCCTTGCTGGTAGATGAAATTCCTTTTCTCAGTATTTATTGCTTTTTGTTATCTTACTGTGTTGAAATATCATACTAGATTACTAATGCATAGATTGCAATTCCCTTTTTCAGTTCAATGCACTGTTTTGAGGGTCCAGAGTGGCTTCATCTGAAAAGAGGCAGAGAATTGTTTGCAAGAGGACCTCTGGTAAAGGTTGATCCTCAAGGCAGATGTGGTGGCGTTCTTGTTTATGATTTGCAAATGATAATACTTAAAGCTGCTCAGGTTTGGTTTGCTTCCTACACTAGATTGTTTTACTTATATTTCATGTTCTTTAAGTTTAACAATGCAGTATAAAACTTTTTAAAGTCAACTGATGAAATACTAACAGAATTGCCTCTCTCATATTTCCTCGCATGGTGTCTTAAATAAATTTTGGTTGCATTGAATTCAAGGTGATAAACTGTTGATTATCAGGATATGAGAATGGTTTAATGGTTGGACAATATTCTGATTGCTTAACAATCATACTCTGGTGAAGTTATTCCTGTTATTTAAAAAGGTTCACCTTTGTATCTAAAGAAGTTTGCTTTTAAAATACTAATGGAGATAATAATGGAAACATATTAGCATTCTCAACGAGCTCCCACTTGTAAAGTCTTTTATTCTGTATCTATTTGTCAGGCTGGTTCTGTGTTGGTCGGAGAGGATGATGCTTTTGGTACTGGAGGTTCAATTTCTGCTCGCATCGAGTTGTCTTATATTATAAGTTTACGTGATTTGGACATGAAGCATGTGAAAGATTTTATGTTTGTGCACGGTACGTATTAATGACTTTTATAGTTGGTTGATTTTGAGTTGTCCTGGAATGCTTATAAATATTTGAAGTTAGAGAACAAGAATTTGGAAGTTTTATTTCTTATGCATATTGGAGGCTAATGTTGTGAATTAAGTGATCTTGTTTCACTGGAAACATAAATGTATTTGGCCTGTCATTCCTAAATTCATTTTTGAATATGTACATATATATGAATTTAAGAAATTTTTGTTGAAACTTATGGGCCATGTGGATCTGCACAGGATTGTTTTATTTTTTCATGTGAGAGTGTTGATACAGGAAGAAGTGTTCTGGTTGTCAGGCTATCCTATCTGAACTGTCAATTATTATAAGTGTTGAGATTAAGTTAAATTCCTGATTAAGAAACATAGTCCTCAAATTGACTCTGAATATTTTATGAAATGACCTGCTATTTAGATTCTGGAAAACATGCTTCGGCATGTTTACTGAAGTTGGATTATTTTAATACCCTAAATTGCCTCTTGCCTCTTGCCTCTTGCCTCTTGCCTCTTGATAAAGAAATTCTTGAATTAAGAATAAGGCCTGGCTACATAACCTTGGAGCAGTAACAAGTTGGTTTTGGTTATCATTTGTTCCAGTTTTTGGAATACCAGTTGGTTGTCTGAAATTTAGTGGCTCTAAACCTCTTACTATTTTTAACATAAGGATTCTGCTCAGTCTTTCACATATGGCATTGGCACTTTCTTTATTGGTAACGGAATTCCTTTCACATTTGCATTTGAGCCACTTTCTCACCTCATCTTCTTTTATTTGGTACTATATCATATAGGTTATATTGAGCCTGTGATGGTTATCCTTCATGAGCGAGAGCCTACTTGGGCCGGGCGTGTCTCGTGGAAGCACCATACTTGTATGATTTCTGCCTTTAGTATCAGCACAACCTTGAAGCAGCATCCCCTCATATGGTCTGCAGCTGTATGTTCTGAACTTGATTAAATTTGTACAAAATTCTTTTAAACCTACTAATGGAATAGTTTTTATATTCCATACCCTAAGGACATTTGAAGCTTTGTTAATGTAAATCTGGCAAGTAATTCCTGATGAAGATTTTCTGAATTCTTGACTATTCACTGCCTTGAGTTAACTAAGACCTTATAACTGTTTTACCATGGTTTGAACCTTCCTATTAATCATTGATTGAAAGTTTTGTTTAGTTTGCATCTCGTGAAAAACTTGGTAGAATCACTGCATCAGACAGCCTTAGAACCTATACGGCTATATGAATGTTTCTGAGATGGTCAGTGGAAGAACATTGCCACCATTGGATTGATTGCATTTTTTGTTCATTCATAAATAAATGCAGGACAGTTTAGAATATCCTTGTTACCATAAATGAACCTCTATTTTAGAAAAGAATTCCTGGTGGATGCTAAAAACTGAATAGGTTAACTTCACTGTTATTTTATCTCCCACTTTACTTTTCTCCACTCTTTTCTTTTTCAGAATCTCCCACATGATGCTTACAAGCTAGTTGCAGTTCCATCTCCAATTGGTGGTGTTGTTGTCATTTGTGCAAATACAGTTCTTTATCACAGTCAGGTAGACTTGTTTTTTATTTCATTGTTACTTCTGTAGATGTACCACCTTAGCACCTTCAACTGTTTGGGTCATTTTCCTACTTGATTTGCTTGTTTTGAATTTCAATGCTTGTTATCTGCTTTTATGAGTATATTGTGTGACCTTATAACTTCCAATCCTCCTGTTTGTACAGTCAACCTCCTGTGCACTGGCTTTGAATAGTTATGCTGTCTCTGTTGACAACAGGTGCTCTCTCTTTCTTTCCCTCTCTCTCTTTCTCCACACACATAAACATGGATCCTAGGAGGCACACACCTAAAGAATGACCTCCACATGTTGGAGCTCTAATTGCAAGTGTTTGGAATTCATTTTATATTAAGGATGGATAAGCGCAAGCCAAGTTTTTATATCTTATTTTTTTAAGCTGCTTTACTTATTGACTGTCCTGTGTTTCTCTTGACATTTGCATTTTTCTTTTTCATTGCAGTCAAGAGCTGCCAAGGTCAAGCTTCAGTGTGGAACTTGATGCTGCTCATGTAACTTGGTTATTAAATAATGTAGCCTTGCTGTCAACAAAGACTGGAGAACTATTACTCCTGACCCTTATTTATGATGGACGGTAATTGTATTTTAATTTTGGTTTTTGCTCATGTTTTGGTTTCATCAAAGCTGAAAAATAACTTGTTTGGTCTTTTTTGGCTTTGATGTGAAGAATTTTTTGGTACTGTTTTGGTATCACTGCCAAAAATTTTAAAACCAAATCTGAAAATCAAAATGGAAAACCAAATTCTTTTCTTTCAAAAAAATTTTGGGGATCATTTTGTAATGTTTGAATTTTTCAAAACTAAGAAGTCTAACAGAACAAGTTTTTTTTCTCTGTCTGTGTTTTGAAAAACCAAAACAGAAATCAAGAACCCAAAGTGATACTAAACAGACTTTTGGATAATTATGACTAACATTGTTAGTTATTGGCTTATGGTAATACCAAAGAGGCATGAGTCTATTTAGGTGATGGGTCTCTGCATTGGCTGATAGTGAATATGCATTAGGTTTTTCAGTTGACTAAATATCATAAAAATGGTGTGCTCAAGTTGGAGGATGATATTCAGTGTAGAATGCTTCGATTGATGTACACATTTGATTACCGATGTTTTTTTTTGAACCACCGGAATTTTTGGGGGTTGGGATGCAGTGCTTGGGTTTAGAACTCAAGACTTGAATGTCCAAACACCTTCCCTCAAAGGGAAGTGGTCACAAGGCCACTAGGTGTTGGACATTTTCTTACCAATGATTGATATACATTATGGTTTTTAGAATATCATTTCTTGGTTTTGTGTTTGAAACTCTTTCTTCTGTCCAGCATCTTTAATTAATAATCTTGCTATTTTAGGCTCCATTTAGTGTGATTGTGGTTTTGGGTTTTCAAAATTCAAACAATCAAAATTAATAATTAAAAACCAAAATCAAAAATTAAAATTGCTAACTTATTGGGTATAAAATTTTAAAATAAATACCCTAAACTCTAAACTTAATTAATTTATAGAACTACTAAATTTTATTTTAGAGTTTCTAAATTTTTGAAAACTAAAACCAAAAACTCAAAACCACAACCATACCATACCGAGCCTTACAAAATAGCCATAATTTAAAGTAATTACATTTCTTTTCTTTAATGATTAATGAACAAGGATCTGAAGATAAAATATGCCATCTCTTGGAGGCTTCTTGGTTTTTTCCCCTTTGAATGATTGATTTCATCAACCATTGCCAGTTTATTAATAATTACTTTCCTGATCTGCAGGGTTGTGCAGAGACTTGATCTTTCCAAGTCTAAAGCTTCAGTACTCACTTCGGTTGGTGAAATCTGTTATGGTCCTTGTTGCAAATTTACTTTCAGTACCAAATTTGTCGCAAGGTTTATGTATTTTACTGTTTTGACTGTAGTTATATTTGTTTTTGCTGAAACTTAGGACATCACAACTCTTGGGAACTCATTATTTTTCTTGGGTAGTCGATTGGGAGATAGTTTGCTTGTGCAATATACCTGTGGATCAGGATCCTCCATGTTGCCATCTGGTTTGAGGGAAGAGGTGAGTGGGGAAAGCTGTTGACTTAATCTACTATTTTGCATGATAAGATGTACTACTTTCACCCTTTTTTGTTTTTGGACTGGGTGGTGTTTTGATCCAGCATCATTTTTGAACATCTGACTTTTTGGGCACTCTTATTTGATCGTGTTTTGATTGAAGATTGATAAAGTTTGTGCCTTTTAATTTCACACCAAAAGAATTTCATTTATCATTTCAACAATTTTCTTTTTAAATTTCAAGTAACTTTTCATCAAAATCATATTTCGTAATTTTTAAGAGTATGGAAAGCTCTTTTTTAGTGGCTTCATTCTTCCAGGTTGGGGATATTGAAGGTGATGAGCCTTCAGTAAAGCGATTGCGAAGGTCACCTGATGGTTTGCAAGATATGATTAGTGGTGATGAGCTCTCCTTATATGGTTCAGCTCCCAACAATACTGAGTCAGCACAGGTGGTGATCCATTCTATGTTAATACATGAGTTATATATATCATCTGGAGAAACTTACAAAATAAGAGAGGGGACAGCAAAATCTAAGGGGGAAGAGAGTTGATGAAATAAACATATAACTTAGAGCATCTCATTTAACATGAGGAACCAAAGCTAAATATCCAATATTTCAATGGTCCTTTTTTTTGTCTCTCCTTTCAGATAGCTCATAAATCTAAATCAATGTCTTTTATTTGTCAGTCAGTTTTTTGAAATTGATATGGGTAGAAATGTTTTATTAAGATGACTGAATTGTAATTATTGTCAGTGGTTAAATTGTGTACTACATTTGCTTGATGTGTTAAAAACTACTAGATTGTTTATGATGGTCATTCCTTTCCTTTTCTTCTACCTCTTATTATTTATTGATGTTTCTTTCCCTTTATGTGTGCAGAAGACTTTCTCATTTGCAGTTAGAGATTCATTGGTTAATGTTGGTCCTCTGAAAGACTTTGCATATGGCTTGAGGATAAATGCTGATCCAAATGCAACTGGAATTGCCAAACAAAGTAATTATGAACTGGTTAGTTTCATGAATCAGGATGCTTCTTGCTTGGTTTTTGTGATCCAAATAGACAATAGGTTTGAAAACATTAAGAATGGAAAGAACAAAACATGTTATGTGCTTGAATTGATCATTTTTTTGCACTTCTTTTCTAAAGCGGTGCTTTAGGTATTTTGCTTTAGCATTTTATTTAGAACTGGTTAGTTTCCTGAATCAGACTTCTTCTTGCTGGCTTTTGTTTCTTTCTTTTTCATTTTCCCTTTTTTTTTTTTTTTCATTGAGATTTTGGGGCATGTTGATCCAAAAGTCAAGTCTTGCCAATTTTACAGGTTTGCTGCTCTGGTCATGGAAAGAATGGTTCCCTCTGTATTCTTCGGCAGTCAATTCGTCCAGATGTGATTACTGAGGTCAAAGCATACTGTCATCTTTTGATTGAATGTTCACTGGTTAAGATTTAGATGATACCTGGGGTATCCTACTGCCTATGCGTTTGTTTTCTCCTTTAATACTTATATTCATTAACAACTGGTTACTGAGGTCGAAGCATATTCTCATCTCTAGCATTTACACATTTTCAAATCAGTTGTGTGGTAAAGACCTGTTTGCTGAGGCTCTATTCAGACATCAGTACATATTCAGTTTTGTCATTGTAGGTTGAATTACCTGGTTGCAAAGGAATTTGGACAGTTTACCACAAGAGTACGCGAACAGCTGCAGCTGATGATGAATATCACGCATATTTGATCATAAGTCTTGAGACTCGCACTATGGTAATGCCATGCTGTAATTACTGTTAAAATGCAATTTGAGTTTTTATAAGTTTTATTGTTAAGTAGATCTAAGTGTCATAGTGTAATTGCTTCGGTTGTGATGGTTCATGGTTTTATATGGGTATATAAGAGATATTGTTGTCTCTCTGATTCAGGACAGGGGAAGACAACATTTCTTATAAGTTTCTATGTTTCCTAGCTTTCTGTTGTTCCCTAGTAAAACTGCATCAGTGTCTCTTATGTCTTTAGTCCTTGGAGAACAGATTCAGTTCATATTTTATTGACTTGACTTCTTTTACTCTCTTCGTTTATCAGAAATAGTTCTCCATCAAAACGCAGTTCTTATACTATCCCTGATCAAACTTGGCTAAGTGATGAGCTATGCTAATATTTGATACATCACAAATGTTATAAGTTTATGAGCATTGATCACACGGCTTATTAAAAAGAAGAAACACCAAAGTTTATGAGCTTGCAATGGTTTTTTCAACCTCTCAGATATGCCATGAACTTCACTCTCCAAATGGCTGTTATCTGAAACCATATGGAGATTTCAACAAGCTAGCATCATTTGTGTAATCTCACTCAATGGTTCACCACAAAGGGTTTCCTCTGGATGACATGTTTCAATCATTGGCTTTTTGTTATTTTCACAGTTTGTGGTATTTTTGCCACTGCTTCTGGGCCTGATATTAAGCAAAAGAATACATGCTATCCAAGTTTAATCTTTATATATAAGGACTAGGGTGTATAGTGATAATATCCAGTTCTTATTTGAAAGGCCTCAGATGAGCCAACAGTAACTTGATCTCTGGTTTAAGTTTAAAAAAGCTCAGTTCAGTATCTTCTACTTTATTTGCAACTTGAAAACTAAACCTTGTTCACAGCAACTGATTGCCCTAAAGGCTGTGAAGAAGAACTGGGTCACTCTAATTAGCAATAGCATTTCACACTCGACAAAAGTTGTCATATGGAAAATGTACTGGTGTCTCTATGCGCTAGTCCCACTAAAACATTTTATAGGGATAGTATATGAACTGTATGGGATAATTTTTGGAAAAAGATAATAGACAGAATCAATCTTGTAAATGCGAATTACTTTGAATTGGTGGAATTCAGATAGGTCATTTTCTGTATTGGTGCACATTAGTGCTTGTTAATTTTATTTCAAGTTTTTATTTAAACTTGCAAATATAAATTCAAGGATTTAGATGTGATTGATTAATTTCTTTTGTGTGCCAAATCAAAAAGGATTCCTTTTATATGTGATGGATTCTTCTTTAAATTGGTCAATGGATGGGTTAAATATCTCTTTTGCTAATCATATCTAAAGTTAGGTTGTGAATTGTGATTTGATTTGCAGTTGGCATAACAAGTTTAACTTTCTGGAATGACCACTTTCATTTTCCCTCTGGTGAATCAGGTACTTGAAACAGCTGATCTTTTGACAGAAGTAACTGAAAGTGTAGACTATTACGTACAAGGAAAAACGGTTGCTGCAGGAAATTTGTTTGGGAGGTGAGCTTAATTATGTGACTTTTTTACATTTTTCAAATATTTAGTTTCATTCTGATTTATGGTCTAATTCCCACTAACCATCTTTTTATATTTATTTCATTTTCTTACTCTAGAGTTTTTTTTTTTTTTTTTTAAAGGCTTTAGAGTTCAGGCAGTGTTAGGGAATGAACACACTGGATTTAAAATCATGTTTAGGTTGTTTATGCATTAGGTCATTTCCTAGGATTCTATGTGTAAATTGGTTGGTCATTTCTGGTCTTCGCTGAACTCTGGACTCAAAAGAAAGAACTTAAAAGGCTCTGTTCTTTTTTTCTTTTCTTGTTATGAAGAAGTTAAATTGTGTAGCTGTTGCAGAGTCTGAACACTTGACTTTGCCCACAGAATGTTTTTAAGTTAGGTAGTTGGTACCTATGTAACGACCCAACCCACAAATTTAAAACACGTCAATAGGGGTTAATAAATGTTGACTTATAGATCCATCATCTTTCCTATGCTTTCTCAATATGGGATTTGCCTAGGGGTCTTATAACCAACTTAGCCAAACTTATGTTGGCCCTTGTTCATTTTCTTTCCAGTAGTTTTTTCGGTATCTTCATTTAATTAAATAATCTTTCATAAACCTGATTCCTTTTTCTTTCTCTCTTTTTAGTTTTTTTCCTAGGTTGGACAAAATTTAGTGGCAATTCATTTGATTGATTTGTTTTGTTGTGCCTAATTGTTAATATGCACACTTGTTTTCTTAATAGTTTCTGACAACTGGCAACTTTATGAAAGTGATATTTTTGTCAAAAGTTGGTGATGACTGAAGAATATGCCGATTGCCAGTTTTGGTTCTTGAGTTTTGTTGCTTGATACATTGCGGCTCCATTTATTTGGCATATTTTTATCTTTTTCCTTTCTTTAGCTATCTAATAGATTAAAGCTGTACTTTAAACTGACTTATCAAAATTAAATACCCATCTGGTTTATTATCTTTTTATATTTGGTTATTGCGAAGAGTCAAGATTACTTTCTCACTTTTTGCTATAGGCTAGTTGCCTGATTCCTGGTGTAGAATTCTAAGCCTGTCTTATTGCCTTCTTTTAGGCGTCGAGTAATCCAGGTTTTTGAACATGGTGCTCGAGTTCTTGATGGCTCTTTTATGACTCAAGACCTGAATTTTGCATCTTCTGAGTCGAGCTCTGGTTCTGAAAATTCCACGGTGTTATCTGTCTCAATTGCAGATCCTTATGTATTACTAAGAATGACTGATGGAAGTATCCGACTTCTTGTTGGAGGTATGCTTTTTCATGAGCAATTTTTTGTTCTTGCTGTATTTCTATCTAGGCTAACATTTGACTCTGTATTACAGATCCTTCTAGTTGTACCCTTTCTATAAATAATCCAGCAGTATTTGAAGGCCCAAAAAAGTTAGTATCTGCCTGTACACTGTATCATGATAAAGGGCCAGAGCCATGGCTACGTAAAGCAAGTACTGATGCATGGCTTTCTACCGGCATTGATGAGGCCATTGATGGTGCTGATGGTGGGCCACATGACCAAGGCGATATATATTGTGTTGTTTGTTATGAGAATGGTGCTCTGGAAATATTTGATGTGCCAAATTTCAATTGTGTTTTCTCTGTGGATAAATTTGTATCTGGAAGAACCCACCTTGTTGATTCCTGCGTTCAAGAATCACCTAAAGATTCTCATAAAGTGATTAATAAAAGTTCTGAAGTAATAGCCAGCCAAGTCAAGAAAGAAAATATCCCAAACATGAAGGTTATTGACTTGGCCATGCAGAGATGGTCTGGAAATCATAGTCGTCCATTTCTTTTTGGAATACTGACTGATGGAACAATACTTTGCTACCATGCTTACCTATTTGAAAGTCCTGATAGTACTTCCAAGGTTGAGGATCCAGTTTCGGCACAAAATTCTGCCAACCTCGACAGCATTCCGGCTTCTAGATTCAGGAATTTGAGATTTATTCGTGTCCCTGTAGATGCACACATCAGGGAGGAGACATCAAATGAAACCCCATGCCAAAGGATTACCATTTTCAAGAATATCAGTGGCTATCAAGGATTTTTCCTTTCTGGATCAAGACCTGCTTGGCTCATGGTATTTAGAGAACGGCTTCGAGTTCACCCACAGGTCAGAAATCCCATTCTTTATTTTCTCAAATACAGATGGCTAAGTGGCTCAAAATATGATTTAGTTTCTTTAATTTGAACCTTAGATCATTTAATTTTCCTAATTATTTAATTTCATTATCTGGAATATGTCTTAAATGAAAATTATCCCCAACCATTCTAAAGTTATAGTTAGAGGCTTTTGGCTTCTTTTTCATATCTTGTTTGAATCTTTTCTCAAATTCTCTTTTGTAGTTTGACCTAAAAATGCATAGTTATTCATGTTCTTAATATCTAGTTACTTTAATTGTCAATATAATATACCCAAAAAAAAAAAAAAAATTATTTCAGTTGTCTTATGGGCCAGTTGTTGGAAAAAAAAAAAAAAAAAAATTATTTCAGTTGTCTTATGGGCCAGTTGTTGGTTCGTCAGAGTTCAGACACAAATTTCCTCAGAAAGCCAACAAACTTAACCCATTTGATATTTTAACTGTATCTTTTTATCATGTAACTTTGGACATAGATTGCCCAACAATGCCCTATGAGATTAGCATTTTGAGATAGATTCTTAGTTCAGGTCAAGCCATTCTCTTTTTGTTATCTTTTGCAGTCTGAATATTCTCTTTTTGTTATTTTTTGCAGTCCGTATCTGGTATAAAAATGTGATTTAAAGCTGTTGAGATTTATATTACCCTTGTCCTAAATCTGTAATCATTTTATGGCACATCCTTGAAAACACTTTCATTGTGTTCTAAACATTTTTGTCAACTTCTGCCCAGATTGCATTAAGTGAAAGGACCTGTCCCATTCCCTCCTATCAAAACCATGCCATATCAAAATTCATTATTGGATAAGCTCAATTTTGCGAACTTAGAAAATGTAGAACCCCATTTCAACCTTTAACTAGGATTTTCTTCTATTTTAATATACTACTTACTGGCTGCCTGAATGGTGTCACTTATTATTCCTCACTTTTGTGTTTAGATGTTTTGAATTATGTTCAATGTGGTTTGTATCTCATTGCTTTCTCTCTCCCTCCCTCGCAGCTATGTGATGGATCTATTGTGGCATTCACTGTTCTTCACAATGTAAATTGTAACCATGGGTTCATATATGTTACGTCACAGGTAAGGATATGGCATTCCTCCCTACTGCATTTTTTTTTTGTATCTTGCAGCATAGGCTAATGCTATTATGTATGTTGGCACTAGGAGAAGAAATTCATCCATATGTTGGTATTTTTGTAGGGAATTTTGAAGATTTGCCAGTTGCCATCTGCATCAAACTATGATAACCATTGGGCAGTGCAGAAGGTAGGTCCTTTATTTGTTTCTTTATCAGTCTAGTTGATTTTAGTTAGATTTAAACGTTCCCAATATCAGTATTCTTTTCTTATTGGAGACCTTTCTTTTGGTTAGATTCCGCTAAAGGGCACTCCACACCAAGTTACTTACTTTGCTGAGAGGAACTTTTATCCACTCATTGTTTCATTTCCTGTGGGTATTTCTATCTATATCTTACTCATTTTATTTTTTTGGATATTAATATTCTACGAAATATATTCTGTTTAATTTTTATAACTTTAACTAATAAGGAGACAGTGCCCTTTTAAGACGTCAATGTGGTCGAAGTAGACTTTTGACATTACATCTCCAGCTGCTAATTCATTGAGTTATTGAACAATGTTTTTAGGATTCTTGATAATGTATGTTTGTCCAATGGATTGCCTTTTTTCTTCTGTTATCTTTGTGTTTGATAATTGACTGAAATTAACAAACATCTTATTTGTTTATTTAATGGTTGAGACATCTTGGTTGAACAATTGATCAGTTATGTTTTTGAATCTCTTATTTAAGTTACTGTCTCCAATGATTAGGCATCAAACCAGAGGTGCTTTTTTTTTCTTTTTTCTTTTTGTTCTTCTTTTTTTACTGGAAATCAAAGGCTTTATATGTGAATTGGCATAACATTTTAGTGGTATGAAATTTGCCTAATCTATTTTTTAGGTCTTTGAATTATGACATTTTTGCCATACTCTTTTCTCAAACTGCAATACCCTATCAACTTTTTTGGTTTCTGTCTGCATGTATCACTTCCTTCTTTTGTATATATTCTGATGCTTGAACAAATCTGGATGTAATTTACATTCTGTTTTCCTTTATATTTCATTTGAGTCTGTGTTGAATGGATAAGATGGGGTTGGGTAAAGGAGAATTTAAAATCTGAAATGCAAAGTTGCTTATGCATGTCTGCAGGTTCATAAGCCAGTCAATCAAGTTCTTTCATCTTTAGTTGATCAGGAAGCTGGCCATCAGATTGATAATCATGGTTTGAGTCCTGATGAGCTGCATCGTAATTACCCTGTGGATGAATTTGAGGTTCGGATTTTGGAACCAGAAAAATCAGGTGGATCTTGGGAAACAAAGGCTACAATTCCAATGCAAAGTTCAGAAAATGCTCTTACAGTACGAGTGGTCATGCTGTTAGTAAGTTTTCTACTTCATCTTTTTGAATCTTTACAGTACTATATTCTTGGACATAATGTGCTTCATACCTCTGAGGGGGGATGGTTTTGTGAATAATGAAGCTTTAATCTTCCATAACAATATAGAATATATATGTGACAAATTAATGGGGCATACTTCATTGTTAATTTTTCTTCTTGTTGACAGAGTGTTTGTGGGAGGGGGATTACAATATGGTTAAGAACAATCTAGGTAATTAATTAAAAGAAAAATAGGCAGAAGCAAGCTAGAGAGTTTGACAAATTCATGTTGGTCTTTTCTAAAATGGAAACATGCTTTTGGGAAAAAAGGGGTTGAAATTAAGGATGACAATGGATTTGGAGCAAAGGGAATGAGTACGAATTGATACCCTGTTCTATTGCAGAATACAGCTACAAAAGAGAATGAGACACTTTTGGCTATTGGGACTGCTTATGTTCAAGGGGAGGATGTTGCAGCAAGAGGACGCGTTCTTTTGTATTCTGTTGGAAGAAATACCGACAATCCCCAGAACTTGGTACCCTTTTCATTTCCTTTATAATCCAAATTTATGTTATGTCTTGCTGCATATGGTTTTTCATCTCTATGTTGTTTTTCATCTATATCTATAGGTTTCGGAGGTTTATTCTAAGGAGCTGAAGGGTGCCATATCTGCTTTAGCCTCACTTCAAGGTCATCTCTTGATTGCAGCTGGTCCTAAGATTATTCTACACAGGTGGACTGGTACTGAGTTAAGCGGCATTGCATTTTTTGATGCTCCACCATTACATGCTGTGAGCTTAAATATTGTAAGTCTTACCTCTTTAATGCCTTTATAATTGTAACATGCTACTTCAGTTAAGAAGACCTTGTTACCAATCTATATCTCTCTGTCTGAGTTATTTGATTTATTTATTTATAGATGCATTTATAAAATATTCCAGAGTGCAAAAAAGTTCTATTGTGTTTTTTATATGGTACATGCTACCTATAGTGCCTTCTTCAGTTAATACAAAGCATAATTGCAGGTCAAGAATTTTATCCTCCTTGGTGATGTTCACAAGAGCATATACTTCCTTAGTTGGAAAGAACAGGGAGCTCAACTTAGCTTATTGGCAAAGGATTTTGGCTCCCTCGATTGTTTTTCAACTGAATTTCTGATTGATGGAAGTACACTTAGTCTCATGGTTTCTGATGAACAAAAGAATATTCAGGTTAGCACACTTTGTGAAAATTTTCTTCATATAAAATTGTGGTATACACTCCTGGTAATATGTAGTCGATACTGCAAATTTTTTTATTCTTTCTTAACTGCAAATTGTGGTATGCGCTTCTGATGAACAAATGTAGTTGATACTGCAAATTCCTCTGTTTTAGCTGTCTGAACTGTTGGTGTGTGTATTCCTCACTAGTTTTGTAGTTTTCTAATTACTCCATTGCAGTATTGCACCAACATTGAAATTTTAATTGTTACATAGTTACTTAAAAGAAATGAAGGGTATTAATCTCAATAACAGGAATAAGACATCTGTAGCTTATGTTACAGAAAGAGGCAATACTGAAGTCTTATAAAATGTATGGATAACAATGATTGAGCAATCTTAATGTAGCCCCTTTGCTGGTCTGTTTTTGCCCTCTATTTTTGATGATTCAAATAAAAGAGTCAGGGTGATGCTATTGAAGCATCTTATTACTCTTAAATGTTGATTCGGTAATCTTGCTTTGTTCTGTGTGCCAAACAGATATTCTATTATGCACCGAAGATATCTGAGAGTTGGAAGGGACAGAAGCTTCTTTTAAGGGCTGAATTTCATGTTGGTTCCCATGTCACCAAGTTCTTGCGGTTGCAAATGCTTTCGACTGCATCTGATCGAACCAGTGCAGCTCCCACTTCAGACAAAACCAATCGCTTTGCCTTGTTATTTGGTACGTTGGACGGCAGCATTGGTTGTGTTGCACCTCTTGATGAAATCACATTTCGGAGGTTGCAATCTCTACAGAGAAAGCTTGTTGATGCTGTTCCACATGTGGCTGGCTTGAATCCAAGGTCTTTTCGCCAGTTCTGTGCAAATGGAAAGGCTCACAAGCCTGGCCCTGACAGTATAGTTGACTGCGAGCTACTTTGCCAGTAAGTATAAGCATCTTCCTAGCATGAATAACTTGAGCATCTAAGAGGATCTTGCAGTTTGGTAAACTTAATTGTTGTGTTTTAAGATTCCCACCTCTCCTTTATATAAGCTAATTCTTAAAGAAAATGTTAATAAATTCCCTTCTATGCTACAATTATTAGAATCAACATGTTTCTTTTATTCTCCAACAAACATGGCAGATAAGTGCATTTGTTTTCACATTTCTGGCCCTATGCCGAGACTTGTCATTCCCACTGAACTAAAAATCTAGGAGTAAATCTCTCGTATGTGAAGCAGTGTTGTATCCTCTTCTTGAACTGCCTATACAGTAAAAATAGCTTGTTAACCAGTGCAAGTTACCCTGGATATTACCAAGATGAGTTTTGATACTCAAAGCAGATGTACGTGGTTTCTCTTTTGCAGTTATGAGATGCTCCCATGGGAGGATCAGCTTGAAATTGCTAACCAGGTGGGGACAACTCGTTCACAGATTCTCTCAAATTTAAATGATCTTACTCTGGGAACAAGCTTCTTGTGAATGCTGCTATTGAAACCGAGCGTCTCAAAACCAGAGGATGCTGAGTCCACTTTATCTACGGAAAATCAATGTACAATCTTTGTATCTTAGAATTAGAATTTGGTTTCTTGTAGTATGAGACTGACTGACTGCTAACAACAACGCTGCACTGCAACATGTTCAGATTTTGACTTGCTTGCCCCAAGATTTTTGGGACACAGTACAGGTGACAAAGATCCTTTTGCTAGCGAGAATTTGTAATCTCTTTAGTTTCTTGATTTATTCATGTAAAGAGCATATAAGTGAATTTCTGCCCTATATACCTTATATATATATATATAAGGTAAGGATTTACTTAAACATAAGTTTTACATATTAAATTTACACAAAATTGCAACTGCTTATATTTTTATTTTTAATTTTAAGATGAAAAATATAATTATTTTTAATAAATATAATGAAAGGTAAATAAATTTTAATAATTAAAATTGAAGATATGAATGATTAAATTTTATATAAATATAATATGAAAGAGCTAAGTAATTCTTAACTATGTATATATTGATTTTGAGTTGCTGAGGCAATCCTTTGGAACCACTTTAGTCAGCCCTTCTGCATGCCTACAAATTGAATTCATAAATATGGACAGCATTAACAGTAAGCTTTGATATGATGAATATGATGAAATAAGACTACAAATTCATTCAGCCATCATCAATAAAATTTGGACCTTAGTGAAGAATAGAAAACTCTTTTGGTATATAGAGTAATTTGCAAACAAAATCAAATCACACCCGAAAGGAAAAGTATTAATCAAGTAACACATAATACTCCCATTACCATCCAAAAACCAGACCAATAAATAATTGCACCGTAAGGGTTAAAATTGATGCACAATCTTGGGTTGTTCCACGGAATCATGTCTTCTGGAATTGGACTAGTGAATGCAACAAAATTAGCTAATCATACCTAAAACTCAATACTAAGGACTCCATTTTTCAAAGTGCATAGTTGTAGATGGTGAATGATTGGTCGGCTACAACCATTCACTTAATTCCGACTTGAAAATCCTCCTCTCTCTATATGTATATGGTTATTTAAAAGCAACTTAAGCATGACTAAATTCATTTTACATTCAAATTTGAAAACAAGTATTTTTAAATTAATAAGACAAATTTTTTTTTTTTTTTAACATATTTGCAAGGGGCGGGTTTCGAACCCAGTCCGGGGAGGGGGGAATGCACCGGGGTGGCTATTGCTATTAGGCCGCAAGGGCCAGGTGCAAATTAATAAGACAAATATGAAACTCGATTATTTAAGAAATGTAATTTAATTTGAGCCATTACTTATTATTAAAAAGTTTAAATAAGAGAATTTAAAGTTATTGAGTTAGAAAAAAATAAATTTTTATTTAAATATTTTCATCAAAAATATTTTAGACCCAATTCCAACTATGTGGCCTATGATAAAAAGAAATTTTTTAGATTAATGTCAATCATTAAACCAGGTTTCTCTTTGAAAAATTAATATTGTGAAAATGATTGTGGAAACACGTGTATGACTTCAACCATCACATGATATACCACTAACCACCATATTTATATGTTAGTTTACTAGTTTGGAATTGAGACTTTAATTCCTCTTTTAATAATTTTAAGTAAAAACGTTTCATTGTACACCCCCCCCCCCAAAAAAAACAGTGATTAAATCTAGACCGTTAGATGATTTGCAGCATTAGTGGGCCTTTGTAAATGGGCCTGGGCCTTATGCACGTGTGGGCACGACTTAATAATTTGGTCCGACCATGTGTGCACTGCGAGGATGAGGAGGATGATGATAGCAACACACGTGCAAGAGTAAAAGAGAATGATCTAATTAGGAGATGTTTGTAAAGAGTGGTTATGGGACCATTTTCTTCATGGAATGTCTATCAAAAGGAGAACATAGTTCCTTCATTTGTGATGAATAAGAGGCCATATAGTCTCTCCACCACTCTTAACCAAATATTTAAAATTTTTAAAAAAATATATATTTTTTCTAATTTTCTTCTTAATTTCTTAATTTAAATGCTTAGACTTTCCAAAAGCACTTCTTGTAGTGGGATATTGGTAGTGCACACTTAAGTCCCCATCAAAAAATTAGGCAAAATAGCTGTGCTTTGACTTGAAAAGAGAGTTCCATTTCTTCAAGTGCCCTACAAAGTGTCCATTAGGGTTTCTTCCCAATTATCCATGGTGGTCCAAATCAATCTAATTGGATCCCCCTTTTTTTCCTTCATTTTTGGGTTTACAATAGTATAAACAATCTTGTTAACTAGTTTATTTACCCATTTAGGTGTTACAAGTCAAATTTAAAACTTCTTTCAAATTTTAAAGAAAAATGATTATTACTATTGATGACAATGAATTTTAAAATTAAATCTTCGTAAAGAAAAATGTGACTATTGATTGCTTTATATTCTAATCAAATTAAAATAAGTTGAACTCAAATGTAATACCACTTTTAAGTTACTAAATAGTCTTAAGAGTGTATATTTATGTCTACACATGTGTTTATATATTTTTTACTTGGTATGGTATGTTTTCTTTTGATAGATCCAGATTAGGCGCCGAACAGTCACCTTTGATTTTTGTGGCTCGAACAAAAAATAAAATAAAAACAAATACCCCTTTCTATTTTTTCTACTTGTATCTTGAAAAGCTTTTGAAGAGCAGCGCAAGATTTGTAGAAAACACATCTCATAGTTGATTAGACACCATAACAAATGCGTGGTAGACTGGTAGTCTTGAC